AACTGGTAAATCTATTTCTCTTTGTAAAGCTGAGACATTATCTACTTTTTATCATTTGCATGATAAACATTTATTTTTCTTTCAGATGTAAAGCATCTCAAATAGTTGTTTATTGCCTTTCAATAAACATGCTTATTTCATGCAAAAGTATGTTTGTTATAGTTGCAACACCAAACACGACAAATATTATCAAGAATATTTAACAAAAAAAAAATCTATAATGGCACCAGATTCTCTAAAAGGAAAGTAAACAAAGTGCAATGTATGAAATGTAACAATGGGGAATGTAATGCAGAACTAGGACTCTTCCTTTAACCCTTTTAGGCCTGTCTCTCAAATGTCCGCCTGGCATCTTTTTAACTTGTTTTTCACTAGAAAGTAGGAAGAAAAAGTCCTATGGCCAAGTGCTTCAGCACATTTTCCCAGAATATTTAGAACTTTCAATATCTGGCATTATTTTACATTATACTTGATACTAAACCACTATTAAAACAGTTTGAAATCAAGAAAAAACAAAAAGCAAAATGAGATTTTAGAGATTTTATGCAAATAAAACACTGCATTTGAACATGAAGTACAGATTTTGCATCGCAAATTAACAATTTCAACACTATACAACATATTTACAACATCTTAAGCTGTGCAGATTTGGACAGTGTCATTGTTCATTATCAATTTAAAGATGTGTGGCAAGCTGTTGCTGTACATTGTTTTTGCCCAGAGCGTTTTATTTATTACGTTTTATGTGTTCCTTTTAGCCATCCACTGATCCTCATGGCTTGCTTTTATTTGGCAAGAACTAATTCACATATTTCCCGTTGTGTTCCCTTCTCCAGACGAAGACGATGTATTTGAGTTCCCAGCTGTTGCCCCGGTAGGTCCAGCTCCGGATCCCCAGTCCATCACCCTGATGACCGGCTCAGCTCAAAGGATATCTGTGCGCCTGCAGAGGGCCACCACCAGCCAAGCCACACAGACCGAGCCCCTGTGGTCTGATCTGAGCTGGGGGTCCGCAGACAGCGGCTCACACACGTTTCCTAAAATGAAGTACAGGACTCACAGAAAGGTGTCTAAAAGCCCGGGTGTTGCCAGATGGGAAAACCACAACAATAGACAGCAGCACGGAGTTTCCGCTCAGAACTATTTGAATTACCAGAACAAACCCGGCAGCTGTGAGGGACGGAACGGAGAAACAAACACAATGGAGGTAATGAAACTACACGTTTCAGATACTTTTATTTGTAGCAAATAAAATGAAATGAGCGTACAGGCCACACAACACTTATGCCTCATTTCTTGTTTTACAGCGACCTCTAGGGGAAGTGATACAAGAAAACACAAAATAGAAATAATCAGAAAGTAATCTATATGTATAGACAATATTAATGCACTATAATATAAGTTCCACTGGAGGTTGAGATCTGGGCTATTTATTTATTTATTGGTTATGGCAGCTTTTAGGTTGTTTCCATGAAAATGCATTTTGAATTTTCAAAATTAAAATTAACACACATAAACATTTTAGATGTAATATGAAGTGGTCAATTAATGCAATATTTGAGTTACACTTTTTGAATTGAATTACTGAAATAATTTAAATATTCAGATATTGAACAACACTTAATATAGCTGCTATTTTCTTATATTTTGAAGTGTCAAATGTTCTTGTTAATAGTTAGATCATTCTAAAAGCATGGTAAAGTATGTAACTGAACCGATGAGCTTAGACTGTCTTGCGGCCGAACAGAAGTATAGAAATCAGTTGCAGGTGTGAACCATTGTTCCATCTGCATTACAAACCACCATCCAGCATAACTGTCAGCTTTGGCTGCAGAGATGTTTTTGTTTTCATTAAAATACATGCGAGTTACTGTTTGTTTAATCTACATCAAGTATTCCAGTTGTTGTTCGCCATTGTGTGTTAAATTTGTTAAATAAGCGCTGCTGTTTCTCTGCATTGGAAAACAATGTGCAATAACAAAGCCTTGGTGTTATGCACTTAAAGGCAGCTCTCAGACCGCAGACTCAGAGTACAGCTGGTAGACCTACATGTATAACGGTGCAGATGAACTGCATAATGGAAAATATGAATGGCAGAAAGGGAAATAACGTTTCCTTCACCTTTGGTTTCCTTAAGGACAGCTGACTTGGCCACAGCAATGAAGGCCGGGAGCACAGGACCTCTAGGACCACTAGGACCACAGGGAGCAGGAGGTTCTTCTCACTGGGGAAGACCTTGGGATGCTTCAAGTCCCCATTCAGTGACTTGAAGTTCTCTCACCCTTTCTAGACCCTGGGGAGACATATGGCTGCTACCAGGGAGAAGCTCAGTGGATCATGAACACCTGATGTGAATCAAATCCTGAGACCAGAGAAAGTTTTAAAGGCTCCTGAAAAGATGACACGAGGATTTACAAGTGAAATGGAAGCTAAAGAAGTGTGCTTCGGACTCTGCTCAGTGGATCAGTCTTTAATTAAAACTCAAAGGTTTGGACAGAAAACACCCTAAATGAAAGGTCAAAGTTTCCTCTTGAAGAGGCTGATATCTCTGGGCACATATGTACATAATGTGTTTATACAGCGGTGCAAATAAAGGGAAACTATTATTCTTATTAATAACAATCTTGTTCTTAGATGGTTTTGAAGCTTGGTTCACTCTGTTCAGTTCAGTTCATCCCAGAACAACTCAGTTCACTCAGATTCAGAGTTAAACTTACATTTATTGTGATTATTATAAAAATCATTCAACTTCATGTTAAACTGCATGGAGGTTGTGTGTTACAAATTAATATGCCTTATTTTTATGAGCTTTTGCTCATTTGAAAATGAGCATAGCTCAGCTCACCGGACGCAGCTGAACCGCGTCGCTTTCCGGGGCACGGACCCCTTTCTCGGGGCGAACCCACCACTGCACCTGACCTACAAGAGCACAACCACATCCCCAACGTGTTACACGCATCATGTGCGTGTCACTATTGCACAAAAATACCACAAACCTAGACCACACAAATGCTGCCCATATTCACATGGTTCACAAAAACAGTGGATCCAATTGCTTTCTAAAAATATAGTAAATGATAAAGATAGAAAAGCAAAGCCTATCCCTATGATCCACGGGAGGTGGAGGATGAAATTCCCAGGTTCAAGTGTCGTCTGAGACTTTTACTTGACTCCCCTTGCGGAAGGGTTGAAAATGAACTCCACAATAAGTTTATTAATTTTTAGGTAGCTTCACTGCATAGTCATATGTAGCTAATAGAGCGACAAGCTGCCAAATAAAAGTAAACTGACCAACAACATTTAGGTTTAGGACGGACATACTCACACAGATGTGTGCTACGTACAAAATATTTTGATGCAAATACCGTTTTTTTTTTATCCACAATGTTGTTAATAGCAAAGACGGTTAGATTTTTTTTTAACCTATAAGGAATATCTCAAGGTAAAAAAAAAAAAAAAAAATTAGCATAAAAAGTAGGGGGGCCGATTTATCAGTGCCAATTTCCTTAATTTTGGGAATTTGGTGATCAGCCGATTTTTGCATTTAGCTGATCTTGTCCACCGATCTTATATAGCTTGGCAAATGTGTAAAGAATCAACCTCTGTCCTCTTTGGCTCTCTGGTGAGAAAGGTTTGACAGACAGACCGGCCCACTAAGTTTTGTCTGCACGTTTACAATTAACAGTAGTGACCCCACTGTTGCCAACTCAACAACTTTCTTGCTCTATTGAGCAACACTTTTGACAAAAAAAAATTGGTATTGGCCAAAACCGGAATTGGCAGGTTAAGCTTTTTAAAAGATCGGTAATTGACGAATGGCCAGAAAACTGCAATAGCACCTCTAATAAAATGGTAAGCCTAAAATACAAACTTCTGACAGTTTCTTAAAGCCCCGATCCTGCTGGTCTTTATTTTGCTGTGAACAGACAACAGATTACTGGTGATACTTTGCAAAAGGCAGCACTCAATGGAGCTCTTCCATTAAAAGTTAACTATTGTTGCTTTTACGTTATACGAAGCCAGAAAAATATTAGACTGGAAGCACCTACTTCACATAAAAATTTAATTACAAAGATTACATGTGTCCAATTCATTTTTCTGAGGTGTCTGAAGTATAGGTGAAATTTGCAGTGATGCACAATTGTTTTGTGAAGGTGTACATACACACCTCCTGGTGCTCTTCCTGATTTTACTTATTAAGATTTGTTTGGGCTCTGGTGGCCTTTTACTGAACAGTAGGCAAAAAAGAAATGGGCCGAAGAGAGAAGTGGAAGACATGCCGCAAATGGTCCAAGACTCGTAATCAATCCCAGTACAACCATGTTGAGGACCACGGCCTCAACATGGTGCATGCTCTCCACTAACTGAGCCACCCAGTGTCCCTCCTCTTCCTTTTTGCCAGGTTGCTACATGTGAGAGCTTTAAGAGTATTAGATACGCTGGTGATATGAATCATCATTCTGACAGTAAATTGCAAAGTGAAAATAAAACTGTGGCCGGAAAATATTCAAATAAGTGTTCTGCACAGCTCTCTTTTGGTTTCTTGTGTGTGTGTGTGTGTGTGTGTGGGGGGGGGGTGTGTGTGTGTGTGTGTGTGTGTGTGTGCGTGTGTGTGTGTGTGTGGGTGTGTGTGTGTGTACAAGGTTTTTATATCCTTATAGGAACCTATTTCTGTCTACAATGTGGGGTTATGGGGACCTTGTGGGGACATTTTCTTGGTCCCCATGAGGGAAACTCATGGGGAGCAAGTGCTTAGGTATGTGATGGTTAGGGTTATTATTATGATAAGGGTTAGGCTGTTGAAATTAATGGAAGTCAATGTGAAGTCACCACAAGTGATGAAAACACGACTGTGTATGTATATGCATGTGTGTGTGTGTGTGTGTGTGTAGGTATGCGTGAACTTGCGGGGGTGTGTGTACTTACCTGTGGGTAGGTGTGCAATACTTGTTTCCTTATTCATGCATTAAATACCTACAAACCTTGTGGTGCCTGTCACTTCAGGTTTGCTCTGTTTCCGTGACCATAAAAAGAGTCTGGAACAAGTTCACCTGTAATATGATAAACACTGAAACCACCCACAGCAGCTTATCCACACACTGAAACTTCTTCAGAAGACATCCCAGAGAGAGGCTCTACGTATCGAGTTTACAGATAAGATCTACACATTTATTTTTATTTATTTTTGTTTTCTTCCTTCCTTTTTATTTGGAAAGAGTTTTGACAGAAGGTTTTCCACACAAATGGGAACCAATTGGCTCATTATTTGGAGCGTTGCGATCACTTTATTTCAGGTAAGACTTCCTCTTTTAATAATTTCTGTTGTATCAAATATTTGTTTAATAAAATGAAAATCTTTTTAAGCCATTTTCCCTCATTTACTCACCTTGTCAGAATGGTTGTTTTTTTCTTAAGTATGTTTTCATATTTTTTCTCTTTATTTCCTTCTTGCATCAAATAGTAATTTATGTTGTAAAAAGATCTATTTGTTGTAGTTTAATTTAAAATAACATACTATGAAATCATCACACATGGTGATGATTTGCTGTGAACCAGCTGCTTCTATTGAAGTTCATGGTAGATCCACAGTAAACTTACTATGCTGTTGACTAACCGTTAATAAAATATTTTTTTCAACTGTATAATCATGTTAGAAGGGTGATACTGTGTTTCTCAAATGAAAATAACTTTATTTTAAATTAACTTAGTTATGAGAAAATTTATTCACATGAAGAAAAGGGAGGCATTTCCTTTTAACTCATTTAAAGGTAATAGTTTGCCATTACTACTTGTCTTTGGCGTTTTAATGAATGCTACCGTTTTGACTTTTGATACCCAGGAATAAAACATTTCTTCCTGCCAAAACAGTAGTTTCTATATTTTCGTCTTTGTGTTTTTTTTTTCTGCTTTTACTGTTTACATGTTTTCTAAAGACAATTTCAAAACTTTCATTGATTTAACATTATTTAATTCACTGCCAAATATGTTCAGATTTCAGTTACTGAGGCTCCGCAGCAACAAACAACTTGATGTTGTGTTTCGTTCTTCTCATCCAGGTCTCCACAGCCGCGACTGTAGAAGAGTCATCATGTGTGCCTGGTTTTGAGTCCAAGTTGTTGATATTGAATGTGACCAAAAAGCACCTGACACATGGCACACTACTGGGCAAAGGTGAGAACATTTCATCAAGTCATCTGCTCACTCACTCTTTCATACTCACATTCTCAAAATGTTTTATATGCTTTATTCTAAATTAGCTCAGACCCTATTATGAGCAGGCAATCATTAGGAAAGCCATAGATCTCACGTCAGATTTTATTTTGGACTCATGCTTCAACGCTTCCTCCATCAGGGTAAAACATGTTCCCAAACTTGTTTTTCAGGTTTTGCTTCAGGGTTCAGGATGTTAGCTGCCATAGCCCCAAGCAACAGGCATCTGAGAATGTACATATAAACTGTACATGTGTACTAACAAATAACAGACAGTTATTTCTCGAATTATCACTTAGCCATTTATTTGTTTGCTTACACTTTTTCTCCAAAATGAAAAGACGTGTACTCTACTATACCTGGTATAGTACAGTGCGTTTATGATAGATGGCATTTCGCAATCTTTTTAATGAAATCGTTTTTCGTTCAAACGATTAAGCAGACAAGTTGTTGTTGTTGTCTATCTGGTTGGTATAGAAGAAGTGTGAGGGGAGGTTGCTTTTCACATTCTTTCAGAGCTACTTTAGTTGGAAATACTTTGATCATTCCTGTTCCGGCACATTGTTGTCTCAGACTCTGCAGTACCTTTTTACGTGCATGATTGTAATTTCAGATGTTCAGTTTCTGTGGTCTGTACTTCACTTCCGTCATACTATTTCAACAAGTTTTAAAAGGAGAGCATCAGTTAAAATAAAATGTATTTTTTTCCACTTTAAAATGTGTTCCTTTTTAAACAAGACCAAGTAAAATTTTATGGTCTGTTAGAACTTTAAAGTTTCACTTGTGTTTCTGGTTTCGTACATTTCCTTATTATTTACTTTGGTCTTAGTTCATCCCTTAGTTTATTTCTTCAGGAATCTCTTTGTATTTTATCTCCTCAGCTTGTCTCAGAGTGTGTGTGTGTGTGTGTGTGTGTATATATATATATATATATATATATATATATATGATAGGACAGTAGCGGCAGGTTGATTCCAAAAGGAACAGGATGTTTGTGTCATGGTTGCCGTACTCCCTGGTAGCAAGCTCACAATGAGACGGTTTTTGCCACCTGGATGATGGTGCAGAACTGCAGGGGAATCATATTGATGACTAAAAACAGACTGACATATCACCTTTTATGTCACATGATACTTTAGACTATCAAGACTTACTCGGGTATAAAGTTGTGATGTGCTCAGGAGCTGCAGAAACCACTCAGTCTGAATATATACCGTTCTACTTCCTTGTCGGATTCTCTTTCACAGTCACACCTGTGTTCTGCTTTACCTGTTTCTCATCTTAGTATTTTCTTTTTATTGCTTTATTTAACTTTCTGTTACAACCACCATCAGAGTTCTACATTCCTGTCTGCGATTTTGACTTTTCCCATTCACTTCATGGGAATATTGGTGCATGAATTCAGCATGAATTTAGTGAATGGCTGGAAAGTTTTCAGAAACCTTCCAGCTTATGTGACAAATACCAACATTAACTTAACATCAATGTGTATTTTAATCCCTTTATCAATTAATACTATGATGTTTTTATCATTTATTTTTATTTTAATCCTGACAATTTCCTAACACACATAATTTTCAGTTCCCAGTTAGTAGCAGTTTCTAATGTACATGTTTAACATTTTGTTATTTTCTTGATTTCCAGTTGGCTTCACTGACTGTACAGGCCGCACAAGATTCCTGTTCAGCTCTGATGACAGCCGTTTTCTGGTCCGGACAGATGGGATGTTAACGGTGAGAACAGAGGCAGAACCCAGACAATATATAATCATCTAGAGGCCTTAAAATAACTGGATGATTTTAACTGGAATGATTTTGATCCTATCTGTAGTTCCATCACTCCATCCCAAGAGTCCCAAGAGACTTTAGTTGGTCTAATCAGCTGTCGTTGATTAGACAGCTGATTTGTCCTAAGTAGAACGACAGCGTGCCCTGGTTCCTGTAACACTGAGGGGTGTAAAAACAGTGTTTCATTTTGAAATATTTTGAATTGTTTCTGTACAGTTAGTTTGGGAACCCAGACTCATAGAAAATTTGTACTAACAGGACACTGAGCTAATGACTGTGGTTCTTGGCCTAATCCAGGTAAAGAGACGGGTCATTCTTCATAAGGGGCACCAACGCTTCTCTATCCACTCCCTGAATGCACAAGGTCAGCAGCTGACTCTTCCTGTCATGGTTTTGTACCAACGGATTCACCACAGGAACAATGAACCACTCAGTCACACTGAAATGAGTTCCACCAATAACACACAGGTAGGTTTAGAGATTCAGTTCCCTCATGTTAAAATGAAACAATTCATGCTCATAGTTCAAAGCTCAAAGCTTGAACATAAACTAATGATTCTTCATCCATCATTTTATCTCAACTAAAGTCTGAACATGTCAATTGTCGTCATGCAGCATTTTCACCTAAAAAATAATTTAGGTGAAAATGAATTTTAATAGGAGGAGTTTCTCATAACTTAGAAGATGATGTAAAAATAATGTTTGTTTTAGCCACATAAATGATCATGCTCAGCAGCAAATTAATATATCGACAATTACAGCTTAGAGTAGCTCATTGATACATTAATGCAGTTGCCATGTAGCCTGATGTAAAAACATTTCGCTAGACACTGTCAAACATTTATAAGCTTTAATTGTTATCAAACGTTATCAAACATGCCGTTTTAACTCCAAAAAACTCAGAAATATTTCGGGCCAACCATGAGAATCAACTCATTTAAAGTTAAATCTCATATCACACAAATACAAAGATGCTATATAAATGTTTGGCTGTTGAACTGGACCGTTCATGTTGCTATCAAGCTGTTTGTATTAGCAGCTCCACAAATCTTTCAGCTAAATATTACATTAAGACGCATGAAAACAAACCTTTATCTTGTTTTTTTTTCTATTCTTCCTCTTTCTTTTCTCTCTCCCTGAAGGATAAATTCTTTTTTGACATTGTTTTTCTAACTTATCTTCCACCAGAGCTTTGGAGGCTTGGGTGTACAATGCTTGGCAGCTCATATTACCGCTAAATTGTGACTTACCGCTGCCACCAGGGGTACCCAAGAGCATTTTTTTCTTCTTTTTGTCCATACAAGAATGAATTCTACATACATTATCAAATATATATTATTGTAGAAAAAATTCCCAACTTTATAATTGTGTGTCTTTGTTAATATATTAACAGAAACACACAATTATAAAGTTAGGATTTTATAAAAGTCATTACAAATAAAAAAAAGTCACTTCCACTTTGAGTTTGATTATGCCTTGGGCCGACCCTGAGAATCATGACAGAAAAATTTATTAATAATTATTAGTTATTAATAATAACTAATATTATTTAATGTAATATTAGTCAGGGCTGTTGTAAAATAATATTTTAGTAATTGAGTACTCTGTAGATTGTTTGTGATTAATCGAGTAATCAGATCTCTCTTTGTCTCTCTCTCTCGCTCTGTCTCTATCTCTCTCTTGTTTGCTCCGAAATGGTGATGACAGCAGAAAAGCTGTCGTACTCCAAGCATCGCGCCACACAATTTAACAATGCTTATTTGTCCCCCAAAACCTGATAAAACGCTGGAAAATTCAACATCATGCTGCTAGCACTTCAAAACAACTCACAGACGAAAGCCAGGTCACAAATAATGACCTGGGTGGAACACGGTGCGTTAAATAATGAAGCATAATTTAGCAACGCTTCGAGGCAGATAAATTTTCCTTGAGGAATTTTAATAATCAAGGTACTCAAATCATTCAAGGAATTGTTACAGCCCTAACATTAGTTTTAATTTGTACCCACATAGGCAGCCAGATTTTTTATTCTGTTCCTTTCAAGAGATTTGCTTGTTTTTCTGTTTATTAAATAGAACACATTTATAAAATGATTTGTTATGGCCATGAGCCTCTGTTTATGAGTGTCGTTTGATGTGGCCTTTTTAAAGTAGTAAATGTTTGGGTTTAATATTCATCTATGTTTTGCTGTTTGGGATAGTGCTATCATCCATGCTATCATCCATCTCATAAACATTTGTAAATGTTACAAATGTTTATGATTTGCTGCTGTCACTATGTGGACAAACACGTAGTGACAACAGACAATCAGCTGCATTCTGTCATTGACTTTACAGTAACTCCTCGTATGATCATGCATGTAGTGACAGTGGAGAGGAAAACCTCTCCTTTAAATAGAATACAGAGAAATCCTGGAGGACAATTTGCTTCCATCTGCTAGAGAACTACGGCTTTGGAGAGCATTTATCTTTCCAGCAAGACAATGACCCGAAGCTTCCAGCTGAAGTTACACAGAAATGGTTTGAAGACAAAGTGGATGTTCTTGAGTGATCCAGTCAAAGGCCTCAGCAGAGACCGTTGGGCTGTACTTAAAAAAGGGCTTTGGCACTACCACCCTGTCACAATCAATGCTTTTGCTGCACCTGTCCACTCGACGGCACATTTAGCAGATCTTCCAAATTCCTCATCTTCAGTATGAGCCCAGCAGCATGTTCTGATAGTTTGGCTGAAAACTGGCCTTTATGAAAGGGCTAAAATGATGTCACCCAGTGTTGTGTTCAAGACC